GACAGTAAACACGAAGCATCAGAGAGTCTCCATGAGTCAATACACAGGAACGTAAACTGCAGTGTCATATATCTTCTCAAAGTGGGCTTAATGTAGATGGATTCTATGTAACACACATCATATCTGAAGTATAAGCTAATCTTCTGGATCTTTGGTGGCCAAACAATGCTGTTCCCTTTTGGCTTTATGAGTTTTCAAATGGAAAATTCAAGGACCGCATTCCAAAATGAGATATTGTCCCACATTTGCAAAAACATCTGGGATCAGAGTAAGCCACACATCACAGGGCTACTACTAAACATGTGAGTAATCCCAACACCTTTGCCCACAAACTGACTGGATTTGTCTCGTTTGAATTCCTTGTTTTCAGCTGAACTTTAGGGAATAAAAAAGTTCAACAGAGGTCATACAGAAATGGCAAAACCACCAGGTGGGTAAAATAAATGGCAGCAGCCCAAAACAACATCATTCCATCTTGCAAATTTAGTAAATTATTTTCTGTTTCATGTTTAATTGCTGAAGACGCGTCTAATTCTATAAATATACCAGTGCCAGACCACAGTAGATACCATTTGTTGTTAAATTGTTTTTTAATGAGCAAACCATTTATAGAAACAATCAAGACATAAAAGATCTAAGAACAATTTTATAGTAAGTTATACACTTAATTTACTGTAATCGCATTACAAATGACAGATCGTTGGAAAGGCACACGAACTGTAGATTAGGAAATCCATTTGACATTTTTATATTCTGTGTAGCAATGGTGACATCACCACAAAGGACATAACACTGCATTAAAAAAAGCTAACTTCACTGCAACCTTCACATTTCTGAAGGTCTTGCCTCTCGTCCATACATTTAACCCCAACGGTCGAAAATGTTCCAATTCAGAGAAACATTTTCATGGGCGTGACTGGTTTCTTTGGTTTCTCCATTTAAAAACAACAAACCTTTACCATCGATCACGTCCCCCACTGAGCCACTTCAGGGTGCCGCAGTAGTTTCCTAATTTATTTTCACTTTGTACGCATCTGGCAGGGAGACAAATACTGTCATTACACACCTTTGGGGTCATTTGTATATCATGGTGTTTGGGATTATTGCCCAAACATCAAAGTCCTGGTGAATGATGGGACGCGCTGAATATTTCTGTTTGTCTGTCTCAGTTGTATTCTCTTTGCTAAAGATGTGGAACAGCGTCACATGTAAATGGGTCTGCATTTTGAAAATATGACTTTTAGTTTGAACAGTGTTTGTGTAGTAACGCTATATTTGCTTCTTAAACGAACAGAAGAACATTTCCTTATCCTCCTTTTAGCTGTAACAGGTGGCAACATGAGGGAGTAGATGAGTAACAATTAACAAACTCTCTCTCTACAGATTTATACTAAATGCAGAGAATGCCTTTTATTGTCACTATACATGTGTACAATCAGACACAGAGATACAGAGATCTCCTGCTCAGTACAGACATGGGCTGAGGTGCACAGTTCTACAGCACATATGAACAGTGTTCAGAAATATCCAATGTACAAATATACAAAAGAAAAAACCTAGATACATACCTTTAAATACAGGCATGTATTCAGGTATACTTATAGCTGTTAGCATAGCTGTTTCTGTTCACATTTGTAGCTGCTGATGTGTTATAAGACAAAGGTCAGCAAACAGAAAGATTTCGAAACATGCTAAAAACATGACAGAGAAAGATGGGAGGATAAAAAGAGCATGTCACAGATCAACAGAGGAAGCACTGGGCGAAGAGATGGAGGTGAAGAAAAACTCAAATAATAGAGTGAGAGAGGACTGTGAGGCAGAGATACTGGGCACCATCAGAGAACATGCTTTCAAAATAAAGGCATGGAATATTTATGAACAGGAGAATAAAAAGAGGGAAAAATGGCTAATCAACAAGAACAGAGAACTAAATGACAAATGCCAAAATACAGAGAAAAGGACAGGAATGCAGAAATTAGGAAAGGCAAACAAGTAGCTGGTAGCGGTCTGACTGTGATCACACACATCGTGCATCTGATTTCACACTTTACTGCCTCGTTTGAACTCAGTAACCTGGTTTTAATTAGCAGCAGTTCATAACAGCCAGTTTCAGTCACCATCTAATAAAACAAGTCTCGCACTGATTTCCTGTCACTGGGCTGCAAAGAGCGACCGATGACAGTTCCCACAGCAGTCAGTTGGTATCACTTGAATTAGTGGCACAAACACGTGCGGTGAAATGCCACAAACCACATGCCCTCTTTTTAAGGACGACCAAGCTAGCGGCACAGGATGACAAGCCAGCAGAAAATAAACAACACAAAACACAGCAACACATAATTATGGTGACAGCTTCCCACCAACCCACTGCTCCACATGTAAAACTGCCATGTTCTCAGGGAAAATCTCTTTAACAAGCATGGGCTGCTGCCATTATGTCTCTCTCAGCCAGTCACATTTAACACATTTCGAAAGAGTTCAAGTCTAAAACCCGAAGAAACTTGTGAGAATCGATTGAAATGCAGTTCCTTTAATGACCACTAGATGCTGACTTATAATGAATTAAAAGGAATATAGAATAAGAATAGCTCGTGCAAGCACAGCGCGCCCTCTTAGTGTTAAATGACAAGACAATGAGGGGAGAAAAACAATGAAAAGTTGGAAAGGTGTAAAGTTCTGTAGTGTGAAGAAACCTTTAGCGTGTTAGCAAGGAAGCCTGATGATGATGGAGAGGGGAAGTCCTGTTTCAAACAAGTGCAGGCTGCACCAGCACTGTCTGGGAAATCAGTCAGTTGAATGAAAGTACTGCATTTAACTGCATAAACATTTAATATTTACAATTGATAGAGCTGGTCGTCAGCAGTGTTGGTCAAGTTACTTGAAAAAAGTAATCAGTAACTAATTACTGATTACTTCCCCAAAAAAGTAATCCCGTTACTTTACTGATTACTTATTTTCAAAAGTAATTAATTACTTAGTTACTTAGTTACTTTTTAAAAACACGATTTACAACCTGAAGAGGTGATAAAGCGATAGATCTTTCAGCCCAATTCTACTTTTCTGCATAATCCATCATACAAAATGTAATCAAATGGAAAAGTCTCTTTTTAACTTGTTTTATTAGTTTTAATCTTTTAACTTTATGCATCAAGCAAAAATTTAATTATCTGCAACATTCTGACTGGAAGAAATTAGTTTAACATTTAAACCTATTTTCTGCACATTCCAGCACATAAAATAAAATATTTTTTGTGTTTACATCTATTTGAAAGAGTGAGTGTAAGTAAAACACAGCAGAAAATAAATAAAGTCAAAGACTAGCGGTCCTGTTGCTCTATTTTCACCTGTATAGCAGGAGTGGGGCAGGCGGAGGTTTACCCTGGTGCAGGTGAGCCGCAGCGGTCAGTGGAAGAATCCGCGAGTTTCTCTGTGAGTTTCCCATTACGTCATAGCTACTCGTGCTTGTTGGAAGTTTAGGGGTTTTTTCGCTGTAAAAAGAAGTTTTCTTCCCACGCACAGCGGACGCTAATGTTTTTGTCACTTTTTATGGAATCAAACTCAAAGTAAGGTCAGTGCTTCCACGCTTTAAACGCTGCACGCTCATACTCTCTCCCACACTCCATATATGATCCATTGTTGATCCGCACACAGCTGTTGTCACTAACGGCGCACTCGCTTACGTCACTGTCATGAGACACTCTCGCAAAAAAATCACGGTTTTAGTAACGCAGTAACGCAGCGTTCCTACGGGAAAGTAACGGTAATCTAATTACCGTTTTTGCAATAGTAATCCCTTACTTTACTCGTTACTTTAAAAAAGTAATCAGATTACAGTCAGAGACAGCCACACAGTGAGTATAGAGTATGATCTGAGCTACCTTACAGACATATGATAGATGTGGGTGATCACAAACACTACAAAACAAACCAGGAAGTCAACTGAAGCATCAACCTTTCATCATAAGGCTGTTTTGTTCTTAGTTTCTGAAAATTGATCAACTTTCCTCTCTTTGTCATGTGTGTCATGTGTTTGGTAGTGCAGTCAATGTTAAGAATGTAGCTCAATAGACAGTGTAGTTAATAATGCCTTTGACCATGTTTGTGCATGAAATTAAATTCTAATGGCAAACCTTCAACTTTAGCTTTAACTCTGCTCTATATCAGCTGTCTGAGAGTCATTCCTGTGAGGTGAATCCACAATTCAGCAGCTAGTCTCCACTGGCAGCTGCTGCCTTAGCAATCAATCTCTCACCTAGTCTCTCTAAAAGTTTAAAGAATGAGTTACAACACTTTCAAATGCCAAACATATCCCAGCAAAGACACACGAGCATCTGGAACGACTGTTCTTATGTTTCTGACGTTACTTTGTGGTCGTCAGTCAGCAGCACAGGACCGATGAGATAAAGTGTGTTTGAGCACATCCACGCAGTCCTGCATGTTACACGGGGCAGGAGAAAAAAACACAGAAGTCTAGCTGACTGCAAGTGGATAACAGAGCACTCAGCCTAAATGGTCTGATCTGTCAGTACTAAAGCACAGCCAGATATCTGCAGGAGAACTCTTCAACCCTGAGCGCCTCCCTGCAGTACACAGAAAAGAGCATAAAACAGCACAAATCATGGAAACCCTCCAACTGATGACAGAGCGACTATGCGAGCAAGGCGTCCTGAGCCAGACAGGTTTAATAGGTACAAGGACAAAAGTGCACACACTTAAACACACATACTCGTTTTTATATCTTAGTGTGGACATCTCATTGACATAGCCAGAAATGAATGTCTAAACCTAATGTCTATGTCTAAACATGTACACACACACACAGATATATAGATTACCCATCATCACTAAATGTGCATGCAGACACATACAAGATACTCAAGATGTTCTCATTTTGAACAAAGCTTAGTTATTTTGCAAAACACCACAAATGTCATTGAGGTTTGTATCCTGTTATAAGAGATGCACACGAAGGGGAATAATGCATTGAAAAATTGAGTTACCCAGACAGTTGTGTCCATCGTGGGCCAGCATGAATCCATCGTAGCACATGCACCTGTAGTTGCCTGGTATGTTGATGCATTCGTGGACACAGCCCCCATTGTAGTCATTCTCACATTCGTCCATGTCTGATGAAGACCAGAGGGCAAAGGTTAGTAATCATGCCGGCCTAAATGGTGTCAAATGAATTACAGAGCTGACGTAGCAGTTGAGTCATTAAAGCCCGGTTTCAGCGGTGTAGGCAGTCGCTCTTAACTGAAGTAAATTGAGAATAAACCATTTTTTTTTCTATATACTGTAGAAGTAAACGTGAAAATGACCACTTTAATGAACTAAATATTGCTGTTTGAGGGGAAATGCAGAGGGTATTTTTATTAGCACTGTGAGTCAAGTTTCAAATTTGCTTTCCATTTGGTAGCTCTGATCAATGACTCAATGCACTCTGTGTACTTAAAACCTAATAAGCTTTGTGAGTGGGCTCTCGCTCACTGCCACACCTCTTCACACAGTCTGGATGAAACTGGAACCCTTGAAACCTGAAGGCTGAATCAAGTCTGTGCATCGGTCACAGATGCTAAATGAAGTTACAGGTAACAGTATTGTATGTAAATATGTTAAAGGTGCTATGCATAGGAATATGAAGAGATGCTTCTGAGTGCCTTTACAATTTCACCATCACTGCCCTAGAGTGGATTTCCCTGGCGTGACATATCAAGTGTTCAGCTTGAGTAAAATTGTCTCGGACAGAAACAAATGAGAGTAAAGACACCAAAACAACACACAATGACAGCAAACACACATTAGAGAGGCACTCTAATGTGTGTTGTTTGATACAGTGATTAAAACGACACACACACGTCACCATAAAAGTCTGTTCCTGCTGGTTTCTTAGGTAGCAGGAAATCCATCAACCCTGATGAGTGCCATCCTTCGAGAGTAACCCCTGAAACATCACAGTACAGCTCAGGAAGGGAGTAGTTGGTTGGGGGATGTCAGTGAGTGTTTATTCATCTGGGGATAACCACCCACCTCCATGCTGAGCCAGCAGAGGTTTTCATCGGAGCAGCTTGCAAGTGGTTGCCATGCAGAGCCACTTAAACAAACAGTCCTCCCCCTCCGTGTGAACAGCAGGAGATCTGCCGTGCAGTAGAGGAAGACTTAAGCCCAGGTCCTCCTGCTCTGTCTGTGCGACGGCTGATGCAGCACAGGTATATGTGCACTCTGATTCAGGCTGACGTCTGTGCACCTTCTCTTCCTTGAGCCAAGTAGGATGCCGCCTGGATGGGTTAGTCAAAGTCATGTGCAGCCTTTCATTCTTCTTTCCTGGCTTCCTGTGTCCCAAACTCTCTCCCTTTTTATCTCGTCTCATTTTGCTCTGCTCCACACATCTGCTGTATTATCTGCCTGTCTATCTGCCTACAGTTCATCTGACAGGTTGTATACATGAAAACAATTTAAGAGTAAATTCACTGGAAAGAACCTCATCCGTGCACCTTGCCCGATGGCCTGATGACTCAATGAAAAGAGTTTTGTGCAACTCTGAGCTAGAACTCTGTGAGCTGTGAGTTACTCCTCATCCTGTTTTCCACAGATGAGGAGTAAGAGACATACTAAACCCTTTAGTCCTTTACTTCTGTGGCTAAAACAGATCTCCAGAGACTCTTGCAACAGCCTCGCATATGAGTGCAGTCAGCAACAGCACACAGTAATAGTTGACATGCAGTGACGTGGAACCGGCAACACGACACATTACAGTAAATCAGAGAGATGCACCTAAAAACGTCCACATTTATCCTGCATTTAAAATATTTTAAATGCTGTACATGTGCATTTTCACAAGTAAAAGAAAGAAGGACAAATCGTAAAAATGAAACCCTCAGCCATTCACTTCCTTTCACAAGAGTGATGTTGTGATGTTGGCTCAAGCGACCGCTTTGAAGAGTCAGACAGACATAAACATAAAGGATCCTCATCAGAGAGGTTTTACTTAATGGTTTGAAAACAATTATGACTGCCACGATCTCCACCATGAAGCATCACAGACATGTTTACCGGAAGCCAATTATGCAGACTAACACACACAAGGGCATTTTAATTCGCTTTGTTTGATCTCTGACAAAACAAGCCCATATTGTGTGTAGGTCATGGACCGCTCCAATGTGATTGTGATTATATGAGAAGATTAATATCACTGCCTAACATTCAGTCCTGTTATAGGAAAAGGTAACCAGAGCCCTGTTTAAAAACTTTAAAGTGACCAAAGTACTTTAATTGAGCTACACGTGAGCACCAACAGATTGAGTTCATTTTAAAATGAAAGAAAATGTAACAAAAAATGGGGGAAAAAATCACTCATTTAAAGAGCATGAGCTTTGTGTATACAAGCTCCTCATGGCCATCACTGGCTCATCCTAAAAGGCATTTGCAACTAATTACACTGAGCTTGAATGGGCGTCTGTTTGGGGAAAGGTTGTTTGGACACTTTGCTGTGCTGCCAGCTCAGATGGTGTGGTTCAACACGATGTGGCACCTCCTTTGTCATCTGCTTTTCATCTGTCAGAGACAAAGGGGAAGGTAAGGGCTACAACTAACGTTGCATATAGGGAGAAACAGCCTCAGCGCTGCGTGTGAGTGAAAAGCTGCGGGTGACTAATTGGTGTCTGTACTGTTTCAAACAGCCGGACCGAGTCTGTATCGTGGATTATGTTAAGATGGCCATATTTGAATACACGTCTTTATGGGCTTTTAAAAGCGCAGTATGCAATATCTCATGGGCATAATGACACAAAGTAAAGTGGGAGCAGGAGCTGCAATCGTTTCTGATTCACTCTTGTTGATAATTAAGGTTGAGTTTATGTTTCCGATCTAGTTAAATAGATGCAAATAATGCAGAACATCATGCACAATGCTAGCTTACCATTATAACTTGAGTCAACTACACATGCAGATGCTGTGCTGACAGGTGTGGGGGAGCCCGGGACTCGTACCTGCTGCCAAACTGAGCTTACTAAAAGAAACACTACAAACGCTCACAAAGCAGTGTACACAAGTGGGTAAAATAAATAACAGCATCAAGCGCCGTAATAGCCAATAAAAGGATACAATAAGACATAATACTATAAACAGGTAGTTTTAAAATGCATAAATAATAAATAAATAAACATTTTCAACACTAAGCTTGTTTAAACAATTAACTTTTCAGCTATTTTTTAAAGAATCTACAGAGTCAGCAAAATGTAAAATGTTCCACAGCCTTGGTGTTGCAGACAGAAGGGATCTGTTCCCTGTACTCTTTAGTCTCGTACAGGGAACAACTAACTGAATCTGAGCCTGTGAATGAAGAAGCAGTAGCTGAGATAATCTGGAGCCTAGTGCTCTAATTAACACAAGAGACAACGATTTTATATGTGAGTCGAAGTGCAGAGAAGAATCAAATATTTAATTCAATTCAATTTAGTTTTATTTATACAGCAACAAATCACAACAACAGCCATTTCAAGGTGCTTTATATTGTAATGTAGACCCTACAATAACACACACAGAGAAAACCCAGCAATCATATGACCCCCTATGAGCAGCACTTTGGCGACAGTGGGAAGGAAAAACTCTCTTTTAACAGGAAGAAACCTCCAGCAGAACCAGGCTCAGGGAGGGGCGGGGCCATCTGCTGTGATTGGTTGGGGTGAGAGAAGGAAGACAGGATTTATATAACAAGATTTCAAATGCAGGACTTAGCAGTCTTGCAAAAAGACGCAAGAGCCCGACTGTAACTCAGGAGGAGCAATAATCTCAGTCTTGTTGGTATTTTAAAAAAAAGGGTAATTGTTGGGTTTCTTTAGTAACCTGAGTCAAGCAGTGGCCGTAGACATGAGGGTTAGAAGACATATGCAGCTGAATATCATCGGCATTAAAATGATAAGGAATGCCATTAAAAGATTGAAGAATGCTAGCTAAAGGAAGCATGTAAGAAGGAAATAAGACATCAAAGGATGCACTGAGATCAAGCAGAATGATTATAGATTATAGAACAACTCTCTGCATCAGACGCCAATGTAGGACCAAAGCTGGTGCGAGTCCCAGACAGGACAGACGGCTAATATGTCTAAGGATAAAGGTTTCATTTTAGATTTCAAGTCCATCACCTTGGCCCTGTGACAGACTGGCGACCTGCCCAGGGTGTACCCCGCCTCTCACCCTATGACAGCTGGGATAGGCTCCAGTGCCCCCCGCCCTGGAGAGGATAAGCGGAAGCGAATGGATGGATGGATGGAAGTCCATCACCTTATTTACAAACTGATTAAGAAATGTGTTAAAAGCGTCATCAGCATGTAACACAGCATGTTGAGTTGTAGAAGAAACACCTTTGATAGTATCACATAAATCCTTGGATTATTCTTATGACAATTTATGCGATTGTGGAAATAAAAGTATCTAGCCTCTTTCATGCATCATTATAAGAGTGAAGGCCGTGAGTTTGATTATTTAACCAGAGTGAGTGGGAACTGACAGCTGGATAGTTTGTAAGAAGTTAACAAGGAGCTCCACATTATCAAAAAGAAGAAAACAGTTATCGATAAAGTGGCTGCGCTAAAGACAAACTTCAGAAAAAGAGTTACAGGAAACATTAAAGGAGACTGACTTATGGTCACTGAGAACAACTTCACTTATGTTCACACGGTCAATAGTAACGCCATGAGTGAAGACAGAGTCCAAAGTATGACTGGCAACATCACTACCCCAGATACATGCTGAGCAAAGTTCAGAGTGCATGATGCTCAGGAACTCCTCAGTACTCTCTGATGTAAAAACCAGCACAGCTATTTACAATAAAAATTCAGAACTTGACAGTCTTGACACATTTAGAGTCTCACAAAAATGCTTTTCCATGAACATCAGTCAAAAAACAAAGAAACTGTTTTACCAAACTAACAGATATATTATATTTTTATTTTATTGTTTTGCTTAGCCACAGAAACCCATGCTAATGCCGAGGAGGCTTGGAACTCTGCAGTTATTGCAGTCAGCACTCGGCCACCTGTGACTGCACGCGGTCAGGGATGCTGGTTTAGCTCAGTGGGTGAGCAGGTGACCATATGCCGTATGGCTGGACAGCAGTAGGCCCAGGTTT